CACATGTCTGTGGAGGCGGGGCCATCGCATGTCACTCACTCACCACGTGTCTGTGGGGGCCAGCTCCTGCACCTGTCACTCACTCACCACATGTCTGTGGGAGGCAGGGCCAGCACCTGTCACTCACTCACGACATGTCTGCGGGAGGCGGGGCCAGCACCTGTCACTCACTCACCACATGTCCGATTGGTTGGTGAAGACGCCGTCGACGAGAGACTCCGGCGACATCCAGCGAACGGGTAGCAAGCCCTCGCCTTCCTTACGGTAGTAGTCGTTCCTGCAAGATGCACCGCAACCCACCGCGTGCGCACGGTTATCGCAACGTATATCACGAACACATATCAGGGCAGGGGCGGACTGGCACCTTGTGGGCCCTCGAGCAATACCTGTGATTGGGCCCCGGTCCACTGACCGCAGTCGGGGGTCCGGACTTTGTGAAACTCAAAAGGCCTGCAATATCAGAAAGGTGGAAATCTTGGTGGAACCCTCACCCCCTATGGATTTGAAAAAGTTCTCGGATTTTGGGCACAATATTTTTCAGACCGACCGATGAAGAAAAACTGAAAAATTGAAAATTCTCAATAATTTTTTTTTTCTAGGTTCATGGCGCCCCTTGGCCCTTTGGGCCCTCGGGCATTGCCCGATTTGCCCGAGGGGCCAGTCCGCCCCTGTATCAGGGTGCGAAATTAACGGGAGTCCGGAGTCAAATGCTCCCTGATTTACTGCCGGACTCCCTAAATTAACATCTGCAGGAGTCCGTGTGACTCCCTGAACATTCTGCCATACTAACAAGTTTGTTCCAGAGAACGGCCTCGCGGAATTACCGTATTTTGCAGCAAATATCCAAAGAAAATTTGACAGACGTGCAACCGCATGAATCTTCAAAATAAGCACACGCTATTGTTAATATCTTTAGTTTTGAACTTCAGATTGCGGGCTACCTCATTTTGTTGCGGACTCTCTCTTTTTGAGGGCAGGGAGTCCGTTGGACTCTCTTGTTCACAAGTTAATTTCTACCCCTGCATATCTATATGTACCAGGGCCGTAGCCAAAAATTACTGTATTGGGGGGGGGGCAAGATGAACGAGCGCCGGAGGCGCTTGCTTCTAGGGGGGTCTGGGGGCATGCCCCCCCCCAGGAAATTGTGAAATATAGAAGCTCTGAAATGCCATTTCCAGCCATTTCAGGTAGGTTACATACTTAAAACTCCCCAAACGGTCAAGCGAGTATTTTCTAATCTTAAGGTCCCATTATTCTTTACTGGGTTCTTTTCTTGGCGGGGGGCAGCTGTGCCCCTGTCCTCCTGCCAGCTACGGCCCTGTGTACGCATTCAGGGACAGAGCTCTATCTGTATCCATATCCATACCTATGTCAACATTTGTGACTGAGACTGTATTGGTATCGGTATCTGTATCTGTATTGGTATCTGTATTGGTATTGGTATCTGTATCTGTATCGGTATCGGTATCGGTATCTGTATCTGTATCGGTATCTGTATCGGTATCGGTATCTGTATCGGTATCTGTATCTGTATCGGTATCTGTATCGGTATCGGTATCTGTATCTGTATCGGTATCGGTATCTGTATCTCCATTTACATTTATATCTATATTAGTATCTATATCTATATAGAGATTATGGAATAATTATGATAATGGGATAATTTTTACTATTAAAGTGAGAAAAGCTAACCTACTTGGGCAGAGAACAACTACGTGCACTGAATGTTTTTTTACATAAGGGTTCTTTAACTCTGTAATTCTCCTTAATACCCAACCTTTCACAAGTCAATCAGAAATACTTCGAGAAAGAATCTCGCTCGTTTTGTCACTATATAGTAATCTACGGAGATCTCCAGATTCGAGTGCGCTTAATTACCAACTCGTTACAGTTAATTGTTTTTCCCACCTGTAGATGTCTCTGGCGAGGCCAAAGTCGCCTATCTTGACGACGCGGGTGGCCGGGTCCTTGGTAGAGACGAGACAGTTTCTCGCAGCGAGATCTCTGAAAGTGGATTGTGTTACAAACTTACAATACTAGTCAATAGATGGCGCTAACAAGGTAACGAAAATTGCTCACTTTTCTCAAAACAAAGTACGATTATTACACGCAAAATATTATTATTTTTATTTTTGTTATTTTATTGCAAAATATTGATTAGATGATTTTACGGAAAATTACACATAGATGGGGTTGTATTGGCTTTAATGCTTCCTCACTGCCAATGCACAACGATCACCATCAAAACATTAGTAGCTCTATAAATGTGGCCGTCACACAAAAACTGTCACTAATTTTCTCAATGATCGACCATTAACGGTAGTTCTATTCACTTTTATCAATCGCTTGAGTGCATGATCGATACATTTCGCATGCCTTTATGTGGGGTCGACTCAAAAGCCTAGTGCTACTTTGACCCTCACAGCACTCATTTGTTAGTAAGTTTGAACTATTCTTTTTATTCATACTCTCATGTTATATAACTATCATACACCCGCTGTATTGTTAACTAAGTTATGTGCTAAATAAAGAATCTGAATACCTGTGAACGAAGTGCATCTCTTCGAGATACTTGCAACCCTTGGCGACGTCGACACATATGTGAACGAGATCCTTTATACACATCTTAGACTTGTGAACCTAAGAATTATAATATTAATGAAAATAATATAATGACATAATAAAATGTAGAAATACCTATAAATTACGCACATGATCGAATTACCAGCATTATCTAACGTCGCCTAGCTAATATGACAACTATACTATGACATTACTAGACTGACTACTACTTAAGTTACTGTATACCTATCATGACTACTATCATGACTATATATGCCCTATGAGCTATCTACTAATATGGAATATACTTAAGGTTACGTACACTATATGCTACTATATGACTATACTTAAAGCTAGTACACCTATAAACGACCGTCAATATGACTGATACTTAAGTTAGATATACTCATATGCCACTATCTAATAGACTATACTTCAAGCTAGTAACTATATGACTACTATATGACTATAGCTTAAGTTAGTACACTATGATGACTACTATATAATATCATTTACAGTTTAGTGACACTATATGCATTACTATCATGACTCATAGCTTAACGTTAAACTACGTATATTATACTATATGACGTGATACTTAGTTACTACACTATATGACTACTATATGACTATACTTTAAGTTAATACACTATATGGACTACTATATGACCTACTTAAGTTTAGTACAACTATTATGACTAATATCGATGACTATATTAAGTTTAGTACACTATATGACTACTATCATGACTATACTAAGTTCAGTTACTATACTGACTACACTTAAGTTAGCACTACTATGCACTACTATTGACTATACTTAAGTTAGATTACTATATATGAATACTATATGACATACTTAAGCTTAGCTACACTATATGACTATATATGACCGTATATTAAGTTAGTTACATTATTATGGACTACTATAATGATATACTTAAGTTAGTATACCTAATGACTACTATATGGACTATACTGTAAGTTAGTACACTATATGACAGCTTATATGACTAACCTTAAGTTCGTAACTATATGTCACTACTATATGACTATACCTTAAGTTTCAGCTACACTATATGACTACTATATGAATATACTTAACGTTCAAGACACTATATGACTACTATAGACTATACTTAAGTTTCAGTACCACTATTATGACTACTTATATGAACTACACTTAAGATTAGTACACTGATATGGACTCTACGATATGCGACGATGATACTTAGTTAGGAACACGTATATGATCTACCTAATGACTATACTTAAGTTAGTATACTTATATGACTATACTTAAGTTAGTATACTATATGAGCTACTATATGAGGTATACTTAAGTTCAGTATACTATAGACTAACTATATGACTTTTGCCCCTCCTCCCCTCAGCATCACGCACGCTACCTGTGTGGCGTCTCTCCACGCGCCGTATGACAGCGGTTCTCCTCATCAGTCCAGAAGATGACGTTATGATCCTGTCGAATCAGACGCGCAGCAGACGAAGTATGTGCTCGCTTGCCTTAAGTATGTGAAGATACACGTGGCACATCACTCAGGTTTAACGAAAACTACAACGCCTGGAAAGCTTTCAAACGTTTTCTGGTGATTTCTCCTTATTGCGTAAATTCGCCTACTGGAATTCGGCTTACTGGTAATGTCCCTTACTGAATTTCCTTACTGATAAATTTTGTTTATTTTCCTTAACTGGCCGCGGGCGCGCCGGCCGGCCCGGCCCGCCCGCCTACTTCTTACTGGGAGGAATGTACGTATTCTGTATATACGTGAATTATACAGTAATGATTGACTTACCAAAAACACAACTGCGTTTTTAAAAGACTTGATACAATGTACGTGTATATCACACCACACACAGCACACTACACGCGCGCGCACGCACGAATGCACACGCACGCACGCACGCCCACACACAACACACACACCAACACACACCACACACACAAGTACATGACAGAATGTGCTTGGTGTGAGCATGCCAAACATGCATGATCACGTGCCGTGTCTGTCCTGCCCATGCGTGCGGCGCCGTGTGTGGCCGTGTGTACCTTGCCGTGCGTGCTGTTAGTACATGAGTGCCCCTGCATGCACACACCGGTGCATGAATGGAATAGCTACAAGAAAGCGTGGAAAACGCCGGATATATGAATGCGTTTGATATTATTGATAACTATTGATTGCATCTCATTATTTGATATATTGTATGGTGCTGATAGTTGATGATGATTGAATGATGATGTTGATTGATGATATGATGATTCGATTCATGATTGATGAGGTTGATTGATATATTGATTGATTGGATGATATGATCAATATTGATTGATGATATGGAATGCCGTATACCTTCATGAAAGAGCCTTCATTCAGGTAATTCGCCTTTCTCGTTGCTTCTGAGATCCTCTTCCGGAAAGGCTCGAAATTTAAACATTTAATCAACGGGATTACTGCTGTCGGCCAGTCTGTACATTAATTGTTAGGAGAATGAGGTGTTCGTTGAAAAAATAAAAACAAGCTAATACGAATGGTTACTTCAAAACTGTTCGAACATAAAACATGACAGAAAGCATGTGGTAAGAAAAATCACAGACTTTAAAAAAAAATCACGAGTCTGTGAGTAAACATCAAACATGTAAAAATTAATCGCGCCGGCAAAAATTTCTGGGGGCACATTATCCGCGAGTGCGTACGAAAATGAAACATCAGAACATCGCCAAGTCAGACAAAATTTACTCAAAAAACCCAGCTTACTCGACTGTCAATATCATCAATGTGGAACAAAGTGAACGTCTGCCATTAACAGCAACCATCAGCCGACAAAAAAACAAGCGACATCACATCACAAAGCGGCGTCGTCGACGGAAAAAGAAGAAAAAGTCTCACAATCGGCGTCCGTCGACGAAAAAACAAGCGAACACATCACAATCGGCGTCCGTCGACGAAAAACAGCGAACGTCTAACAATCGGCGTCCGTCGACGAAAAACAAGTGAACGCCTTACCTTGATGGCGACCTTCATGACGTCAGGAGCCGCCGGTCCGAGGTTGCGCGCCGTTCCCTCGAAGACCTCGCCAAACGCACCGCTGCCCAGGAAGTTAGTGAGAGTCATCTGTTCGCGTGCGATCTTAGGCATGCTCGCAAGGTCCGTGTCAGAAGGGATCTCCCTGCACGAGCAGACATAGAGGGGAGATAGAGAGTGAGAGCAGAAAGAGAGAGAGAGAGAGAGAGAGAGAGAGAGAGAGAGAGA